GGGACTGGGGTGGATAGTTGGGAATGGAGGCATAAGGGGAGAGGGAAAGAAAGTGCGCATTACGATTAGCACGTATAATGTGGGAGCGGGGTCACAGGGAGGGCTGTACAACACAGAGAAGACAAGTAGGGATTCTACAGTATCTTACTATGCTCATGGACATTGACTGCAATGGGGTATCTGGGGGCATCTTTGTGATGGGGCAAGTCTAGTAAACATGTTACTCATCTAATTGTATATTAATGACAGAAAGGTAGATAGATAGATAGACACATAATAAATGAATGAATACATACATACATACAAACACAAATAAAGAACGCAGTAGCCCAGTTTAAAAAAGACACGTGCACCCCTATGTTTATCACAGCACTATTCACAATAACCAATCTACAATTATATGAGCAACATTATGGTTACTAGACTGCCCAGATCATCAAGTCCCCCCCACATACCCCATTACAGTCACTGTCCATCAGCATAGTAAGATGCTATAGAATCACTACTTGAATTCTCTGTACTATACTGACTTCCCCGTGGGACCCCTCCCCCACATTATGTGAGCTAATCGTAATGCCCCTTTCCACCCTTCTCCCTCCCTTCCCAACCAGACTTCCTAGTCCCTTACCCTTTGGTAAATTGGTGATGGGGGGAGTCTACTAAACATAATGTTACCCATGTAATTGTAGACTAATGATAAATAAATAAATAACAAATAAATAAGTAAGCAACTAACTAAATACATAGATACATACATACTGACATACATACATACATACAGAAATAAATAATAGAATACAGAAGCCCAGTTTAAAAAAGACATGTGCACCCCTATGTTTATCACAGCACTATTCACAATAGCCAAGCTAAGTGTCCATCACAGCAGCAGGGAGAGGGCCAGGCAAACAGATCCTGAGTGCCCAGCCTGGAAGAGGAGGGGATGTTTTCACAACAGACTGCCACGCCAAGGCCAGAGTTCGCGGCCACAATGCAGCACAGTCCGATGTGTCTCAGTGACTCTTCTGCACAGGGCCCAGCACGGCTTGAAAAAGTTACAAGGTGAAAACAGCTGCTCTAATGCTGCACTGGGTGTTAATCAAGCCACCTCTCGAATAGCAGCAATGCTTACATCAAGGACCTTCATTTGCCCCCAAGGCCCTGTTTCTACCTTGATTTAGCAATTCTCACTAATAGCAGTCTGTTGTCCTCGTCCCACACAAGGTCCCAAGCTTTGGGGTTCTGCGGCCCCTACAGGTTTGCCTTTGGTAGCCCCTCCAGGAGAAAAGCTCCCCAGGAAGGAGACAGAGCTTTATTTTTATCCCAGTGAAAGTCCCTATCCAATCCATTAGTAGCTACGATAACCTTGGTCCAGGGCATTTCCTGGAAAAGCTATATAACCAGCTGGGATTAATGAACTCTCCCTACCATTAAATCCTGGGAGAGGCCATTGGCCTGAATTGTTACTTAATTACTCTTCTGTGTACAGCTTCATAAAGGAATGAAATGCCTTCTTTCAGGAAGAAGGGAGACGGTAATGGGGGTCATCAGAGGCCGTTAATTTTACAAATAGTTTGTTAGAAACTACAGTATGTTAAGAAGTCACTCTGGTCCACAAATCAACTCAATACAGTCCTGAAGTAGAGATTCAAAACTTCCCAGGTTTCCTTGACTTATGCGAAAAGTTACAAATTGTACAGAATGTGGCCAAAGTGTACAGACTCATGTATGCAGGAACATATTCTTTACATAGTGCAATTGATTTTATCTTCCCCTCTCCCTGCTCTGACTGCAGTTGGCAGAAAATACAATGGGGCCAACTCGAGATATCATGGACTTTTCCCAGTTAAAAATCTCTATGGGTAATTTCTCAGTATTTTGGACAGATTCTCCCTCTCCAGAGTTCTCTTTTTTCCCAGAATAGTGGCAGCTGCAGGAAAAGCTACGTATCCTCAAAGCAGCAAAGGAGGAGCTTTGCGTCCTCACGCCTCCTGCTGGTGCCCTGGGCCTGCTGGCCCTTCGGCTGCGTGCTGGTCCATGCTTCTGCTGGCCATGGGCCTTGTTTGCTACTGCCCTTGGTCGTGAGGCCTGAGGATTCTGTGTTCACCTCAGCACAACCTAAGGTTTCCTTCCCATTGATTAGGCCTCTTAACACATCCACACCACACTTCTGGGTCTGGCAATGCTCAGTGCGTTCTCTGCACCACCCTATTTAAAACTTCAATTCCCTCCCACGTAAACAGTACTCACTGAATTTCCTCTCACCCTCTTCACCTATGTTTCTTCATAGCATTCTCCTTTTTTATCATACCAAATAAAATAAATGTACTCATTTATTGCGTTGTGTTACCCCTCCCGCCCTCACATACACACCCTATAATGTAAACTCCATGATGGCAGGTGTTTGGGCTGTTCTGTTCACTCTGTCTCCCTCATGCTTAGAACAGTGCCTGGCATCCATAAGTGCTCTTCTGATGTTTCAGCGTGTGTCAGATGAATGAGCGGTTATGGGATCAGACTGCTGCCTTAGGACCCAGGTTCCCATAGCCACACTCGGGCAGAGAGGAAGCTCAATCTGCGAGAAAAATAAAACACAGGGACTACCCCTTCATACTACCCAGGAATCACAACCATTGAACTGACTACCACCAAACGGAAGACTCGGCCATCCATCTAGCCTTGGAACTCTGCATGAATGACCATTGTCACCCACCCCACTGTGACATGTTGCCCCACCCATCCTATGTCAATAGCAGAGTCCTGACCCTTTGGAAGGTTCTGACACTCTACTGGTTGGTTCCAGTGGGGAAAGATTAGACTTCAGAAGCTGAGCGACTAAGGTAGAATCAGGAAGCCATATCAGAAGGGGGACAGAGTTTATTGAAGAATTGGAGAAAAAGAGGAAACTAAGGTACAGAATGAACCAAATTATCTACTTCTGCTTGGTTTTTCTGAGCCCTATTTAATACTAAAGATCTTAATATCTGAAGATCCTTACAGAGTCCCAGCTAGAGGTCAGAAAGATTACTTTTCAGGGTGGTTATGCACCTACATTCATGCCCATGGGGCCTTAAGGAAAGCAGCTGGGCACGGAGCAAAAAGGGACTTAAGAGGAATGGATGACCTTTATTGATTCTAATTACCTGGAGCAAAGTTTGAAAGGGTTCTTGTTCTAGAGAACCATCTCCGCATGTACCCACTAGAAGGACATACACTGAATTTTCCAGCATTATCCCTGTATCCTCACTGTATCCTTACCTGAGGTACAGTCAGATCAGGGACAGAAGAATCAAAGGGCTGGGTTTTGTCATGGCCAAAACCTGGGGGGTTGGAGGGAGGAAATCGGTTGACTTGATTTTGTCCCTATCCTTTGGGACTCTTGGCTAGTTACTCTGTGTTTCATAAATGGACACATTTCCCCAATTCATCCAATGCATCTCTGCTGGTATTTTAGGGAATCTACAATGGAAGAACCCGAGGAGGATCAGCTAGATCACGAGTAAGTATCATGATTATGCAAAGCCACATCCAAGGACCAAGGTGTGAAGCAGGTCTGCTCTGCATGACTTCCCTCATCTCCCCCCCACTCCCTCCTACACTCCTGTCTATCCAACCCCCTGCTGACACCACCCCAAGCACTCCATGTCCTCCTGAAGTGACAACTATTGTAAGTCCTGCATCCAATCAGCCCTTCCAAGGAAGGACTTACTTTGCCAAAATCATCCCTCATTCCTACTCAAAACAAAAGACCTCTCCCTCACACTTTATTCCCAGTTAATCGTTTCAAAGAGAAATCAATTAACTGACACACAACAAAAAGAAAAAGTTATTGAGAGCTTCCCATTTGCCAGGTACCCTTTCTAAACCACTGAGGTGTTACCATTATTACATTCAAATTCACTTCAAAAAAGATGTTTGTATTCTTGAAAGTGAATGCCTGGATCATATCTGTGTGTACTCGGTGGAGTAACTCCCATGGTAGATTCTCAAGCTTTGTAGCAGGCAATGGAGAAGTTCTGAGATGGGAGGAGGGAGGGAGAAACAGAAGCCCCATCTGCTGGTGGAGAGCTCTTGCGGCATAAGGCAGAAACCAACTCTAAGTGATGTGCCAGGTGCCTGGATGAAAATACTCAATGGAAGTGTATTTCATGAGCAGATTTTGTGCACCATTTGCCTGAGAAACCATTCTCTCCAATACAAGAGGCTATTAAGGAAACAAACTTCTCCTGGAACCAGGGAGGAGGTGCACTATTATATTGTGCACTTTGATCAAGAAAGCCTGGGAAAATCCTCTCTTGCTCACCAAGTT